TAGTCTTACACTGCTAAATTAGGGACAGGTAGCGCAGATAGCCCTCGTGTAGCTTTGCGCAAAATTCAAAAACAAACAAATAAAGCTATTAGCAAGCAAAATCGTTGGGTGACTTGGCCGATAGAGTAAAGCTTTTCTTTGGCTAAAGCAAGTACAATTTTCTACCAATCGACAGTAACTATAAAAACAAGCACTATTATATTTTGTGATCTATACTACTTTTCTAAATAAATTTACATCATAAAGCATGATGTGAGGGTTAATTAGAGTTAAGATGATTTGTTTTCGTTTATCACAATTCTACCGATTTGTATCTTCAGTTGTCCTAAGTCGAACGTTCTCAGATTTCTTGATTTGAAGAGATCCGTCATCTGATTGGACGAAATAAATTTATCCACAATTGTGTTTTCGTTTAACATCGTTATAGTTGTACTATAATTATATAGCAAGAATCCGTTTCTTATATCACTTGAAATCATTTTTTTCGTGTATATATTTGTTTTGGTGAAACAACCAGCAGTGAAATATCAACAGGAATCTATACGACTAGTTATTTGTGATAGACAAGAAGGAGAGCAGCTAATCATCATCATCACCCGCCGCCAACTCGTGGGCTACTCTTTAACCATCAAAATATTGGGATTGACCGTCACATTATAACGCTCACACTGGTAAAGAGGCGAGTATATTCGGTGACAGGTTTCGATCTTGTAACCTACAGATTGCCAGTGTAATGCCCTAAACATCAGGCCATTATTAAATAAAACCAACAGTGTGTTCGCACCATTCTTATAGGAATAGTTGTGCGTTATATTAGAGCTTAGCAGAATCTAAACCATACTTTATATAAATCCAAACATGTGTTTAGCACCAGACGTATAAGAGTAGTTGTGTGTTATATTGGAGCTTACCAGAGTCTATACCATACTTTATATAAATCCGAACATGTGTTTAGCACTAAATATGCAGAACTAGCTGTTTCTGTAATAGTGAGACAACATTAAATTCATCACCTGGTGTATTGGAGTAACTGGTTTTTGTATGGGACCAACGGTGTATTTATAAATATATAGCTCAGGCCTAAAAGACTAATGTTTTCAAATCATATTTTTGAAAAGAACCAACCTTATACTCATTTGTGATCTATAGATGTATATTATTGTACATAGAACCACACATGCGTTTAATATGAGGACTTTATTGTACAAGTTCTTCATTATATAGCACATATGTTTAGAACCAGTTCTATAAGAACTATAATAACTTGTTTGTTAGAGATGGTCAACATTATGCCGGGTTAGCTCTTACTTTGTAAAAAAATAATTGTTCGTTAAAGAGAGTCAGCCGTATATTTAGATCCAGGCCTAACGTATTTAGTGTTTTTAAATAAAGAACCAACCGTATGTTTAACACCGTGCTTCAGAGTTAACTGCCTGCTAGTTCGTGAGGCCCAAACCTATATAGTTTCACTTTGTATTTATTAGTACATTCTTAACATTTACAAAATGGGGTGCCACTCTGAAGGAATTTCAACTGAACCAAGTATCATGTTGCGTTGGCATCTATCGGTAGTTTACAAGTTATACCATTAATCCAGTTGCTGGTTAGCATTTGTTGCATTTACTGAAAATGGTAGACTGAAGAGCAAAAACACCTAAAAAAGGGCCTTCTCTTAAATCTGATAAATATCTGTCTCCTGGTTAATTAAAGAAAAATCTATCTGATTCAATACTTATTTTGTGTTTTTATAGTTTCTGATTCAATACTTATTTTGTGTTGTTATAGTTTCACTAGAATACATAATAACAATACATAGAAGTTAAACAGCAAATATTGTTATTACTTAGTTTTACGTGGGGAGAATCCTAAAAGAAAGAAACTTAGTCCAGCTTCAATGTACTGAAACTGTCTTCGCTTAGTTCAACGTTACCACTGTTAAAGTACTTACAAACTAACTGTTCGTACTCCAGCTTCACTTCTACAAAAATTACCTTCAAACTATCTTCCCTTAGTTCAACGTTGCCACTGTTAAAGTACTTACAAACTAACTGTTCGTACTCCAGCTTCACTACTACAAAAATTACCTTCAAACTATTTTATCTTAGTTCAACGTTACCACTGTTAAAATACTTACAAACTAACTGTTCGTACTCCAGCTTCACTACTACAAAAATGACCTTCAAACTATCTTCCCTTAGTTCAACGTTACCACTGTTAAAATTCTTTCAAACTAAATGTTCGTACTCCAGCTTCACTATTATTAAAATTATCTTCAAACTATCTTCTCTTAGTTCAAGGTTACCACTGTTAAAATTCTTTCAAACTAAATGTTCGTACTCCAGCTTCACTATTACTAAAATTACCTTCAAACTATTTTCTCTTAGTTCAACGTTACCACTGTTAAAATACTTTCAAACTAACTGTTCGTACTCCAGCTTCACTACTACTAAAATTACCTTCAAACTATTTTCTCTTAGTTCAACGTTACCACTGTTAAAATTCTTTCAGACTAAATGTTCGTACTCCAGCTTCACTATTACTAAAATTACCTTCAAACTATTTTCTCTTAGTTCAACGTTACCACTGTTAAAATTCTTTCAGACTAAATGTTCGTACTCCAGCTTCACTATTACTAAAATTACCTTCAAACTATTTTATCTTTGTTCAATGTTACCACTGTTAAAATTCTTTCAAACTAAATGTTCGTACTCCAGCTTCACTATTACTAAAATTACCTTCAAACTATTTTCTCTTAGTTCAACGTTACCACTGTTAAAATACTTTCAAACTAAATGCTCGTACTCCAGCTTCACTATTACTAAAATTACCTTCAAACTATTTTCTCTTAGTTCAACGTTACCACTGTTAACTCCAGTTATGATGTACTGCAATTTTAAATGCAAATCTAAAGAGGTTATAATATAATTGTATAGGTCATTGTTTGAGTCAGATTTGGAGTACTGTGTTCAGTCTTGGACTCCTTACCTTAGCAATGATATTGAATTGTCAGAAATGGTTCAGAGGAGAGTTATTAGGATGATTGTCACCTGAGGATAGGTGAAAATTTCTGAACTTCTTTTCTCTTGAAAACAAAGAAAAGTTATAGGGAACCTGATTAAGGCGACATATATTTTCTTATTTAACTGTGAAAATAGTAAGACTAAGCGACACAGATTTAAATTTTGGCAGAGAACGAGCCATCTTCAGCTAAGACAGCTTTATTTTTCTAACAAGGTGATTGGCCTTTTGGAATGGGTTGCCTTCAGAAGTTGTAGATGCCCTTAATTTAAGGGAGTTTAAGGGAAAACTTGATAAGTATTTGAATAATAATAATAATATTATAAGGGCTGGCTTTTCGTTTTTTTTTAGTGTTCAAGTTAATTTAGTGGACAAGCGTGTATGTTAATGATCAAATTATGACTTCAAGTTTTTCTTTTTGAACAACGTTTATCTAATGAATGTACTTTTAAGTTTTCAAAGTACACATTTCAGGAAATTAGACTGTCAATTTTAAACAATGAGAAATTATAAACACTTATGCCTTAAAAAAAACATTGCTTAAATTCATAGGTTTTCTATAATGTGCGATTGATTGTATCCACATTCTTTTGGACCATTATCTTAGACAATGATCAATCTTATGCATGGCGCATAACCTTCCCAATCACTGCTGGGGGTAATTAAATGAAGATTAAAGCGATTTAATTGCAGTTGACGAACGCAGAATTCAGATTAAATTATATCTGTTACGAGTTAGATGGAGGTAATCTTACCCCGCTTTGAGGGCCTGTTCTACCCAACCTTATAGGTAAAACAGCCCCAACCACAAAAAGTGCATTTGTTAAATATCTAAAAGAAATGTCTATGCCCAATCTTTTTTTAACTAGAAGTGAGAGTTATATTAAACAAGGGTCCAATTTAAAATATTTTGAATTTTCTTGATGTTCTTCTTAGTTGTTGAAAACGTCATTCAGTGTTAAGGTGGTTGTGTTTCCCCACCTTCCACTACCACCACACTTACCGAGTAGTGTTTAGGTAATACCACAGTTACCGAGTAGTGTTTAAGTGATACCACCACAGTTACCGAGTAGTGTTTAAGTAATACCACCACAGTTACCAAGTAGTGTTTAGGTAATACCACCACAGTTACAGAGTAGTGTTTAAGTAATACCACCACAGTTACCGAGTAGTGTTTAGGTAATACCACCACACTTACCGAGTAGTGTTTAGGTAATACTACCACAGTTACCGAGTAGTGTCTAGGTAATACCACCACAGTTACCGAGTGGAACATTAGGATGCATTTTTCCACAAATTTATAAAACTCTAAAAGAATTTTCTACCACATACCCATATCGTTGTTTCACATACACTGTTGTTGTTGTTGTTAAGCACAAAGCCACGTTGTTAACGATTTGTAGAATTATAAGCTTTCATACTTACCGCTGGGCCTTTCACGAATATAAACAAGTTTCTATACACGACAATTGTCTAACACACCTGGCTTTAAGCTGACAAAACTATTTTTTGAACATTTTCCATTTATGTGTTTGTTTATTTTAAGATTTAAGGCTATGTTACTTACTCGAGGTAAATGCACAGTAACATTAAGTAAAATCCGATTTAAAAACAAACATTTTTACATCTAATGTTAATTACTTACTTATCTGCCTGATTAAAAATTTAAAAAATGTCTGAAGCAACAAATGGTGACTTTGTGAGCATCTCATGCAGATGGCGTTCGAGTACCGCAGCTCATTTCTGAGAGAGGGCGTTTATCGACTCTTCCTGTTAGAAACAAGGGAGTAAACAGAGTGTGTGCGGTTGTTAGCGTGATGCGGGCCTAGCGTGGCTTTGTTGTCAGTACGCAGCTGCGTCACTATCAGCGGAAAAGCGTTACATGTATAACAGATGGGTGTTCCAGTTGGAGTTTTGCATCTGTTTTTACGTTTTCGAGCTTCCAAGAATAAAGTGGTTTCAACTTCCACGTCGTTTTGGTGATGTAGTAGCTTACGTACTTAGCTTCTTCCAGATTTCACAACTGTTGTCGGTCTGTTTGGTTTCTTAACATTTTTCAATCAGTCTCTACTCGATAACAGCTATCGGTGGTTTATGTTCGGATATGTTTATCGTTTATGGAAATAAGCTGATGATTCCGTTAGAGAGACACTTGTTTTCATCCTAAATTGTGCGTTTTTTGTTCCGAACTTCTGACCGGTTAGCCCAGGTGTCACCCATACCACGCTGTTTGTTGTCTTATCTGACTCCTAGTTGATGTTCACAGTCAATCTTCAAAATACGTGTTTATTGTACCGATTGAATACAATTAGTTTTTTTACTATATCAACTGACGTGTCCTGAATTAACCAGTGATGTACATCTAACATCAACACAAAGCAAGAGGACAAACTGGTGTGTTAACAGACCATAAGTAAATATTATTACTGTGTTAACTGATACCTAATACTCAACGAATGATCACACTTTGTTGGGTTTTTTAAAGAAACAACAACAGCTGATGGTACCGAATACAATACTATTATTATACGGAGTTTTCACTCTCAGGATGATTGTTAGTCACAATAACGCCAGCTCAACTGGTTACTTGTGTTATAAACAAAGAGAAGCTAAAGAGGAAGAAGTTCATGTAAAGCGCGATAGACGTTTTCAGTGTTTCCGTCCAGTTATAAAGATCTACAACAAATTATAACTATATCTATCTATCTTTTCATTTAAAAAATAACAACAACTAGTTATCAGAAGTTTCTGAAAGCTCAATAAACGCTGGACTGGAACCTAAACGGCGTTGACACGGTATGAAAGATAAGATATTCATATTCTACTGAACCTAGTGCCTATTGGATTATTCACTGCTAGTGTTTTATGCCTTCTTCGGTCACTGATCGTTTGGGCCACCGATCTAAGTGGGAATGAAGAGACAGAATGTCAGAACGTTGTCACTCATTGTGTGCACTTTTACTTACCTCCTAGTTGGGGCCGCCATCTTCGACGCGCTAGAGTCGAATAATGAGTACGAGCAACGAGACGCGCTTCGGCACGTGGAGAGTATTCTACTCCAAAAATACAACGTTACCAAGGAAGACTATAAAATATGGACTACGGTGATGATTAAGAATGTTCCACACAAGTCTGGTATACAGTGGAAATTTGCCGGAGCTTTTTACTTCGCAACAACTGTATTAACAACTATAGGTGAGTTTTCTTTCGTTCTCTATTTCAAAGCAACTAAGCCTTAAATACGTACTTCCTGTCCTTTCCTTGACTACTTACTGCCTGCTTAGCAATACGTTGCTTGAAGACATAGGAGAAATAATAATATTTTATTGGATTTTTATGAAATTTTATAATAATATTATATCACTGGAATCTAATCGTTTGTTTATTATAAACATATATAACATACAGGATAAGTTTAACTTTTATAGAAAACGAAATACGTTTGAACAGAAGGTCCAATAATCCCCCCTTCTCTCTTGACGAACCTCAGTCCTAACTAAAGAGCCTATTTTCCATGATTCCCTGACAGTAACCATGTTTAAATTAAAGTCCGTACTTTATATTGACTTGAATACAAAATGTTATTCCAGTTGCTCTATTCAAGCTAATTATTTTTATTTTCTTATCCTATCTTCAACTGGGACACTTTGTACTCTATCACAATATGCATGATGTCAACTCTGAAACACCTTGAAACTAGTGCATAATATCAACTCTCGAACACCTTGAAACTAGTGCATAATGTCAACTCTCGAACACCTTGAAACTAATGCATAATGTCAATTCTGGAACACCTTGAAACTAATTCATAATGTCAACTCTGAAACACCTTGAAACTAATGCATAATGTCAACTCTGAAACACCCTGAAACTAATGCATAATGTCAACTCTGAAACACCTTCAAATTAATGCATAATGTCAACTCTGGAGCACCTAGAAACTAATGCATAATGTCAACTCTGGAGCACCTAGAAACTAATGCATAATGTCAGCTCTGGAACACCTTGAAACTAATGCATAATGTCAACTCTGGAACACCTTAAAACTAATGCATAATGTCAACTCTGGAACACCTTGAAACTTCAATAGATACGTTATGTGATGAAATCTAACAAAGACTAGAACAATAGTCTTAATTATTGTAGTATTAGTTGCAGCAAAAATAATGCATTAAAATATATACAACATTAAATCGGCTGAACTACAGTATCCAAAGCTCGCGAATCTGTTTATGACTTCAACAAAACGCATTATTCGTCAAATATGTCTTTGTTCATCTCCTGTATAACTGAATCTCTTGCGAAGCTCGCGAATATGTTTATGGTCCAGCAAAACGCATCATTCGTCAGATATGTCTTTGTTTGTCTCTTGCAGAACTGCTTCTTTTCCGTAGCTCGTGAATCTGTTTATTACTTCAGCAACATGCATTATTCGTCAAATATGTCTTTGTTCAACTCCTGTAGAACTGTATTTCTTGCGTAGCTCGCCAATTTATTTTTAACCAACTTCCAGGGGCAATAAACACCTTTATTACAAGAAATAGACTCAGAGGGAATTTGAGAAAAATAATGAAGATCTAAACCTCTTTATAAGTTGACGGTAGTATTTTTATTTTAAAAATTTAAAATTAAACTCTAACGAAGGTTTTGTATACATTACGTTTGTTTGTTTGAAGTTATGCACAAAGCTAGACAATGGGTTATCCGTGCTCTGCCCACCACGGGTATCGAAACCCAGTTTCTAGCGTTGTAAGTCCGCAGACATACCGCTGTACCACTGGGAGGGCGTGTATATTACGAGGAAAGCATATATTTGGTTAATAATAATTATTATAAAATGTTCTGAACGCTCCTGATATTTAAAAATAGTTTTAAGAAATAACAATATTTTTTGATCATACGTTTTTAATTTATAGGAATCATTAATATAAAGAAAGGGTTAAAATACTAATAAGAAATAGCTGTAGTTAACGTTGCTTTGTTAGTAACTAGTATACAGCTCGACATCTTTATTTATCCTCGTTTATTTCACTTTTTGTCGTATGTTGCACTTAAATGACTTTTTCTTTACTAGTTCTCTTGCTATTTAATCATATTATTGGATGATTGTCTCCATTTTGAGGAGACTTTAAGCTTCAGTTTGAATAGCTGACTCATACAAAATCGTTGATGCTTTTTTGATTATTGTTCAAGTTCATTTTTGGTTCACTAGCCAATCATTAGCTCTCCAGTCAAAATACATTTTTATTATAAAAAGCACGTTAGCCAATCATAAGCTCTTCAGTCAAAATACATTTTTATTATAAAAAGCACGTTAGCCAATCATAAGCTCTTCAATCAAAATACATTTTTATTGTAAAAAGCGTGTTAACTACCTGTCCAATATATCAAATAAAGACGTCTAAATAGGATTCGTGAACCACACAATAAAAATCAGTGTGCTTGTAAATTCACTGATAAACTTTACATCATATTTTACGTTGGTAATGCTATATTACAACATGTATCAATAACTATTATAAGATGAAAAAAAAGAAGTCTTAAAATTAGCCTATTCATGAACAGAGTATCCTACGTAACGAATAAAGACACATAAACATTGTATTTCAATTAGAAATATCTTATTGGTGGATTCTGGGTTTTAAAATCTCTTTGCCTTGAATTTAAGATGCTACTAACATTGTATGTTTATAATGTAACTTAATTTTGTCGTCGTCAATGTTGTTTTAGCGCAAAACTATACAAAAGTTTATCTGAGCGCTGTTCATCGCGGGAAATCGAACCACGGATTTTAGAATTGTAAGTCCGTAACCTTACCGCTGACCTGCCATGGGATTGTGGCTTTTTATGGACGTATTATAAGAAAACAGAACAATTTCAGATTTAAACTAAACACCACTAAAACGAGTGTAGTTCTAGAAAGTGGCAAAAACAAAGCGAACTATTTTTAAGCGTAATAACAAATGTTTAGGAAACAAATAAATAAATTCTGATATTGCAATTGGAAGCTCACAGCCACTTAATAGATATATTTGAAATGTGTTTGTTTGTAATTAAGCACAAAGCTACACAATGGGCTATCTGTGCTATGCCCACCACGGGTATCGAAACCCGGATTCTAGCGTTGTAAGTCCGCAGACATACCACTGTGCCACTGGGGGGCATTTGAAATGTAAAATAGAGGAAATAAATTGTTCAAATCTATTCTCGTACTGTTTAGTTTTTTTTTTCTCTCAATATGACTTTAATGTGAATATTGAATTTTAATCTTCACAAAGTTCACGTGTTTTCAGAAAACATTTTTCTACATTATACTAAATGCTGAGAGAAAAAAAAAAGCCAATATTAAAATTATTTTCTATTTCACAATCAAAATATTGTTAGCTAGAGCTGTTCGTCGTCTATGGCATGTTACAAAGAAGTCCACTTAAAAACTTTTACTGATCACAGAAACATCATATTGTTTAGTTATAAAGTAGGCTTAATTTTCTTTAAAGACGGACTGTTTTGTGAGATGTAAAAATCGAAAAAAGAAGACGATTTGTGACGTTGCTATTGATAATTCTAAAGCTATGAGGTACGTGCAATATAAAATCCTTACAATGAGGGTTTTAAATCTCTTCCTTCTTCCGAGATCACAAACGACGTGTGTGGTAGTAATGTTCTAGGCCTAGGTATATGGGATTGTATGGTAAGGAATTGTTTGTTAGGCATAGGTACTCCCGATGTCCTAACAAGTCTTCATCCGATACTATCTAAAGATTGGCCTAATGAGTGGTAAAGATGATATTATTCTCTCTTTTTTTTTCAAATAAAGAACTTGTTGATTTTTAACCACATATGGAGAAATATCCCCTCCACTGGGGGCGTACGACGTTAAAAGGTTCGATTCCCCTGGTAGACAGAGCGCAGATAGCCTACTGTGTAATTTTGCGCTAAAACAAACAAAGAGAGAGATATCATTCTTATAAAAATCCCAGGTGAAAATTTTATTAACCCAACATTCCCACTTTCTCATGGGTTAGGTGTTTACATGACAGTAGGCTAAACCCGAAACGATGGGCATGGATAAAAAGTTTTCTTCCGGATTTTATGGTCGTGCTTAATGAAATGATTTCTAACCACCAGTCTGTAGTTATATATCTAAACTCTAATAATTACAATATCTTCATTTTTCCGCTTACTCTCGTTAAAGAAAATTCTTTTTTTCTCTTGCGAATAAACATGTGTGCGATAACAGGAAATCACGTGTATGAATACAAATAAACAAATACATGTTGAGTACTAGTAAACATACGGTTGATTACAGAAAAACACGTATTTGAGTACAGGTAAAAATATGGTTTAGTACAGGTAAACACGTGTTTCTAGTACAGGTAAACACATATTTGAGTACAGGTAAAAATATGGTTTAGTACAGGTAAACACGTGTTTTAGTAGAAATACATATCTGTTCATAACCTTCCAACCAGTTATCAGAATAATATATTTTACTACAGAAACGAAAGAAACATGATACTGCTATTCCAGAAATATATATGTAATGTTTGTGATATTATGGTCAAATAAAAAAAAAATTAATTAGCAAACTACAACAGGTTATTGTTTGTTATCGACGCAAGAATTGGCTACTTGGTATGTAAAAAGAAATAGAAAAAACACTTAATAGGATTTCCACAAGTCGTACCTTGTACATCTTCCCAACATGTCGTGGGAAGAAAGAATTGAAATTCAACAGGATATTCTCGATATTGTGATGCTAAGAAGTCGCTCAGGATCAAAAATTAGAAGAATCACAAAATAATAAAGCCGAGCTCTTCTGGAAGGCAGAACTATCTTCTTTGAAATTAAACTATTATAAAATAAGAGACCCGAGCGCATCTGGAAGGCAGAATTCCCCTTTTTGGAGTTAAACTGTCACAAAATAAGAGACCCGAGCGCATCTGGAAGGCAGAATTCTCTTTTTTGGAGTTAAACTATCACAAAATAAGAAACCCGAGCGCATCTGGAAGGCAGAATTCTCTTTTTTGGAGTTAAACTATCACAAAGTAAGAAACCGAGCGTTTCTGGAAAGCAGAACTGCCTTCTTTGAAGTTCAACTGGAACTCATATGTTACTGGAAACATCTTACTTACAAGTTCTTACAAATGGAGCAATACTCCAGGTATAAACGAAGATGCTGATATTGGACACAC